AGTTTGAGGACAAAAAAACCTGACCTACAATGTATTACAAACTTATTCTTTATGACAGCACCTCACCGTATTGCTCTGCGCCAATCGATGGATAACCGTGCTTTTGGTTGTGAAGGGTTTTTTATTGTCATTACGGCTTACTAAGCCTTGTATATAATTCACGACTTCGGAGGACTAGCGAATCTTTTTTCTCAAAACATTTTCTTGCAGACGTCAAGCAAGCAGGAAATTTCAAAACTCGAGAAGGAACTATCTCAGGTGAGAAGAATGGTACTTTGTGTGTCAATAGACTCTGAATGGCTTGTTTTATGTTGTGGAGTTAAGTATACATCCTTAGTCCTACCGTAGTTTACAGTCAGTCTGTAAGTAGTATTTTTGTAATGCTTGTCCTGCTTCCAAGGAGGGAAATGTTGATATCTCATAGTGTTAGGTTGTTACTATTCTCTTTGATATTATCAATAACATTATTATTACTATTGTTTTTTTTTTTTTGTTTTTGTTTTTTTTTCTATTTTGTAGCTCACAGAAAAAGTTAAACGAAAACAGGAAAGGTATGTCACTTAGGCCTTGCTGCTCGAAGCACGATTGGCTGAAATCCAGATATCCTGTCTTGGTTCAAAGAAAGAAAAAGAAATTTTCATTTTCTTTAGAGCCTATATTCGCTTAGATCAGCATTGTTGAAATCATCCTGTGTACAAATGGGCACGAAAGATGATTTTTCCAGATTTTTGGAATTCGGAATGATTTACTTGGCCACCAAGCTACAGAGAGCTCGTCAGTGAGCTGGGAGAGGCCATATACAAGGTTCCTACAATTGGCGAAAAAAATTGTCGACACGTTGATCTTTTCAGCTCCTTATTACTTTAATTTCATCTTTTTCCCCCTCGTTTAGTAAACCTATTTGCCCCCCCCCCTCCCTCCATAAAAATTTTGTATCGTGGATCCATGAACTTTTAGCTACATACGGGCAACATAGAATGGGGTCTTGTCAATGATTTAGAGGGTGGTAGAAACAGGAGTATTATTCTTCACATAGATAGAACTCTTCAGACTTGATGTGTCGACTAATTTTGATGCTGATTGTGGGCGAATGTAAACATGAACACATCACTAATATCGGAGAACATGCTATTTACAGCTACCTACAGCTTCAAGAGGAAAAGGAGAAACTTTATTCGGAAAACAAGTGAGTCTTACATAATAATAGAATTTTAATGATGGTTAACGCGATAGAGTTTGGGTCTAAGATTTAGCTTTCCCAAACCTTTATCGTCTTCTTTCGCAAAAAGAATGTTAACAATCTGTTAATGAACTGCAGGCAAAAATTTTGTCTAAGACTCAGGAATTGTATAAACGCTTAAAATTTTAGCACCGCCTTTCTTTTTTTTATATTTATGTCATTTCTAACTTTCGCGTTATTTCAGGAAATCTCTTGAGGAGTTCAAAATCGCGAAAGAACACGAAATAGAGGTAAGTGTAAGAAATTTGTTTGGAGCTTTTGTTTTAATACAAGGGTTTTGCTTCAATTGTGCTCTTTGACTTCGTTCAAGTTTTTCTTCTTGTCCACGCATTACCCATTTCTTGGGTTGTTTTAAAAGGATGGTTGAGCTTTTTATGCATCATAATCTTTAGGTTCTTACCGAGCAATTGGCAAAGCTTCAAGAGGAGGTTAACACTTCCAATCAGGTTAGTAGAAATAAAAACCGGTCGGGAGTCTG